GGTCCTGACTGAGGGGAGGAGGTGGGGGTCCTGACTGGGGAGAGAAGTGGGGGCCCTGACTTGAGAGGAAGTGGGCAGCCTGTCTGGGCAGAAGAGGTGGGGGACAATGAAATGTAGCTGAACATGTCACCATCAGCTGTATACAGACAAAGCCATGTGATCACCATCCCATAGGTGACATGTAGATCACATGATCGTGAACCATGCTTGGAGTTGTCAGTAACACGCAGCTCTGCTCGCTCCTAGCTGTAAATAGGATGCAGATTAACATTCCCTCGGCACGGGACATCTACAGGTTGTGGGTGGGAAGGGGTTAAAGAGTAAATCCAGGCAACAAGTAAAATCATTCAGTTATTTGTAGTTCCCTCCTGGAAGCGCTGCAAGTGGACCTGTTCTGTCCCTGTTGAGCCGGCTTCACACAGCAGACATTATCCGGGCGTTGTCAGACCCAAACATAACCTTTCATTGGCATAACAATAAATGCTTTTGTTTTCCTTCCAGTTGCCGATAAGGCCGCCTACCTGATGTGCCTGAACTCTTCCGATCTTCTGAAGGCTTTGTGCTACCCCAGGGTCAAAGTTGGAAATGAATATGTCACCAAAGGGCAGACTGTGCAGCAGGTAACTGTCCGAGGATATCCCTGGGATAGGAACCCACCGGAGATACTCGTGTCAATGGTGGGATAGGGTTGGGCTGAGACACTTCCACCACAATCACTTCATCCCCATTGTGACTTGTATAGAGTGCGCCTTTGCCGAGAGCAATGCTGTGCAGGAGGAGGGGAGATGAAGCACAGGCTGCAACGTGTTCCCCTAAAACAGACTTTTTAAAATGTTTTTGAAAGCCCCAAAATGGGATGTTATGTGTAGACTGCGGTAGGAGGAAATCACATGTTCACTTTAATGGCACTCAAGGTGAGGCTTCAATCACCCAACATCCAAGATGCCAAGATACAAATGTACCTTTGAGTGGGTGTTGGAACCGATAATATCGACATCTATGATACAGCTGTGATGGAAGGTTCCTTGATGTCCTGAACTGAATCAGCACATGGCTGTGATACGCAAATCAGGACCATCAAAGGGTTCTTGGGGCTGGACACTGAGGAATGAAGGACTGTCATGTCCTGGGGCAAGCCCGACCCCTGCTGGTATTTACTGCCCTCACCTGTGCCAGCAAGGAAGCATGCATGCTGGGATGGGGGGCAGGGGCATATGATGGAACCTCCTTCCTGTGTGATCATCTGCACTAACCTAACTCACAAGCAGGAACAATGGTAACCTTGGTGACCTCTTGGTCATTCTGGACTCTACAATCAAGAATGTGATTCGCTGAGGCCTGCTGGAGAGGCGTGTCCTGGGCACAGAGAAAAACCCCATGGCATGTGTGACTGAGAGAGAGAGAATGGTGTGACCAGCTGGAGGATCCTTACCTTAATTTTCTATCCCTCCAAATCCCTACTCCAAATACCTTAAAGGAGAAGCACGGGGTCAGGTCTTTTCCCCATAGTTCTCCTTAGGGTAACGGGAGAACACAAACTAGCGTCCTCCCGTCACCCTAAGCTCAGTATATAGGGAGCTACAGCTCGCGGTATACTGAGACCGCCGCAGCCGGAGCGGATCCCGACGTAGATAACGGGATCCGCCCAGCTGCGTGAGTGACAGCTGGCTCTGCCTATCTAGAGGCAGAGCCAGCTGTACCCGCCCCCTCCCCCGTCCGTTCCGCCAGTCAGCGCTGGAGGATCGGAGCGGGGAGGGGGGAATCCAGCCCCTCCTCCTGTCACGGCAGAGAGCCGTGACAGGATCGAGAGGTGAGCGAACCTGGTATGTGTTCGCTCACCTCCCAATCTACTGAGCCGACCTGTGACAGTCTCATTGTCACACGTCGGCTAGAACTATGAGGTGAGTGGAAATCACTCATCTCATAGTTCTCCTTTAATTGTAATTAGAATGTATGTAGATCCCTATTTGTAAATAAACCCCACAACACTTATTTAAGATTCAGTTGTTCATCAGTAATTTAAGGCGCCCCCAAATCAGAGCACATTCTACAGTGGGCGCTAGTAACCAAGAATTAACCGATGAGGGCATTTGTTGGACTTTATCCTTTAAAGAAATGGTCACCAGCTAAGCCTAGCTCCCCTTTTCAGATTGTTCGGCCAACCCGCAAGACTTCGGTGTAAAAGTTGTTGCCACTTTCTGAACACTGTTTAAAAGAAGTTAAAAACAATATTTCCGGGTAACTGTTCCATTTGCTTCATTATCCTTCCAGGTCACCAACTCTGTTGGGGCATTGGCCAAAGCAGTCTATGAGAAGATGTTCTCGTGGATGGTCACACGTATCAATGAGATGTTGGACACCAAGCAGCCTAGGCAGTTCTTCATTGGGGTGCTGGATATTGCTGGATTTGAAATCTTTGATGTAAGTGAACGTTATGAAGAATTCACAAACATTGTCACATTTGTCGTGAATGGGAATCCTGCACCAGCTAGGAATGATCAATAACATTTCTTCATGTGTCCATGCAGTACAACAGCTTGGAGCAGCTTTGCATTAACTTCACCAATGAGAAGCTGCAACAGTTCTTCAACCACCACATGTTTGTGCTGGAACAAGAGGAGTACAAGAAGGAAGGTATCGACTGGGAGTTCATTGACTTCGGCATGGACTTGGCCGCCTGCATTGAGCTTATTGAGAAGGTATTTTGTCCCATAGAACACTTAGGTACTTTTTATGTCTTCTGTAAAAGCTGTGTTGTAAATACATGTTGTCCTATGTTGTACCTAGCCAATGGGCATCTTCTCCATCCTGGAAGAGGAGTGCATGTTCCCCAAGGCAACAGACACTTCCTTCAAGAACAAGCTTTATGATCAACATTTGGGCAAGTCCAACAACTTCCAGAAACCCAAACCAGCCAAAGGCAAAGCCGAGGCTCACTTCTCCCTGGTCCACTATGCCGGAACCGTGGACTACAACATCACTGGCTGGCTGGAGAAGAACAAGGACCCGCTGAATGAGACCGTCATTGGGCTCTACCAGAAGTCTTCCATGAAGACCTTGGCCTTCCTCTTCTCCAGCTATTCTGCTACTGAAGCAGGTTAGTATTCAGATCAAATGGAAAAAAATGGCAAGCACCCTCAAAGTTTATAACCAGCAAAGAGACATGGGAGAAATAATTCACTGCAAATGTAGACAACAGTTCTTCAAGGAAGTGAAAGGCCCTGATACGAAACCTGAAAACACCAAATGTCTCATAAATGTTCAACCATATATGGAAGCCATGCAACACTTTAAGGTTGCCTGAATTTGGGGTCATAATCAAAACTGTGATGGTTCCAACATTGGATTATAAACCAGAAGGGACTGAAAGCAATGATTACATAGAGGTGACCACAAGGTGCAAGCTAGAGCAACCTTCTAAAAAGAGAGCGGCTCTTATTATACCAACCCTTGGTAGTCTGGATGTTCACCTTAGGTCTCGTTCACACCTAGGTGTATTGCATATGCGCGTCTGTCGCGCGTTTCCGAAGGCTACTTGGCTGTATCCCAATGGAAACGCGCAACAAAACGGCCCAAAGTAGTACCTGCACCTTTCCAGGCGCGGGCCGTTTTGTAGCGCGTTAGGGACGGGCGGAAATACGCCGAGGTGGGAACGAGACCATTGAATACAACGGGATTTATATTTTTGAGCGTTTTGTAGAGCGTTCGTCGAGCGTAGAACGCGCTACAAAACGTTCAGGTGTGGACGAGGGCTAAAAGCACAATATACAAATAGGTGCTAATATTATTATTACATAGTATTTATATGGCGCCAACAGTTTGCGCAGCACTTTACAATATAAGGAAGACATTACAGTTACAATACAATTCAAGACAAGATGGTAAGGAGGGTAAGGAGGGTAAGGAGGATGGTACTTCTCATATCAATGAGAAGTAACATTGTAGACTGTTCACCCCGGGGACGTCATCTGATTTCCTATGGGGGAAGGGGGGGGGGTAGCTTTTGTCCCGTAACAGAAGCTTTAAAGGCTTTTCCTTCTTCCTCAGTGTCTTTGGCAGGTTCGGGCTTTTTAAGGGTTGACAAATAAGAAATACTAGAAAGCAGCCGGCTGTTCAGTTTACAACAAGCTAAAGCTGGCGCCCGACCCTGCAGACATACTATAGGGGTAACGTGCTTGGCTCAGACATGTCCAGCCATCTCTATCTATGCTCTACTGTTACATAGCAGGTGTCTCACATCTACACTATTTCTACACATATGCAGACAAAACCTTTCGGATGATAGAAGAAACTTTAAAATAGTCCAAAAAAAATCAAATGAGCTGACTGAAAGAGTAAAATGATCCACAGGAACCCCTCTCATACACCACAATGCAGGAGGCTCAAGGTAGTGTAGGGTCCTAGCCTGTCTGTGGGTGCTTATGTCTGGCCAACAGCAAACTATGAGATGTGCATGGTGTCTAAGTCTCGGGGGCCCCTGGAAGCTGCATTTTTACAAATGGGAGTTTGTACCTTATGTCGCCTGCTGTTAGTAGTGTTGGCTTCTATAGCATTATCTTGTGACACATTGTTTTTAAGCAGATGTGACCTGTCATGCCGCACAAATTACCTACCTGTGGACTATTGACAACCAGTCATTGCTGACCATAAGCGGCAAAGGCCAGTCCCTGGCTCCTACCGTGTTTCCCTGAAAATAGGACACTGTCTTATATTTTTTTGGGGCTCCAAAAAACACACTAGGTCTTATTTTCGGGGTAGGTCTAATTTTTTTTTTTTTTAATGCATAACAATCCAAAGTTAATGCAAATCCAAATTAAATAATCCAAAATGGCTAAGTTAAGAATCAGGGGTGCCGTACCTTTCCATTAATTGGCACCGCTGATTCTCTCCCGCGGCTCTTCAGGTTCCCCTTTATGCCACCACCTGCCCTGGCAATGGTCACAACTAGGTCTTATTTTCGGGGTAGGTCTTATTTTCAGGGAAACAGGGTATGTGTACAGGCCGCTCACCATAAATATTCTCTCGTCCTCCTGCAGAGGGTGGATCAAAGAAGGGCAGTAAGAAGAAGGGTTCCTCTTTCCAGACCGTGTCTTGTCTCTTCAGGGTAAGTGAGGTCACCACAATGTCACATCTGGTGTGCTGTTTTGGCCGATCGCCTATTTTTTTATTTGATTGAATGAGATATCAGACAATAAGGATCATGTATGTTATTTATAAAAATGAAGTCCAATTTAAGATTGCTTAGACAAAAAATGCATTCTACCCACATCAGTCCTACATAGTACAGGATCTCCTGTTGGGTGGGGATCGTCCATGTCGGGCCACAAGATGAAATCTTTCTAAATAAAAGGTAAGTGGAAAGTTCCATCTTTAGTGTAAAAACACAATCTGCACATGTTCAATCCCTTTGGATCTATGACACTTGCGGGTAAGTATCTCACTAAAGCTGCAACTCCCACTACGTGAAACCCAATGGCATGGTCAGGGATGCCATATGCCACGCAACTTTCCAATGCTTAACAGCTTTATAACTTTTTGGTATTCCTGATGAGCTGATAATCCAATGAAACAGAATAATATGTGAAAGGCCAAAGTACTTTGGCCGTATTTGTGGGAGGAGTTGCGGCGGCTCTCCTCCCCTTAAGTAGGGTGGCGGGGCGGTCCTCTCCACGTCACCGCAATATCGCAGCTGACCCTCCCGCCCTTCCCCCACACTAGAGTGTGCCCCCTTATTTGTCACACTGACCTCAAAATCATGGCACACATCAGGTTCGTATCGGTAGAGCTCATGAAGACTTCGGGGTCGTAAGTAACTGTGACCACCATATATGATTTAGCAGAGTCAGTTTCACGTGGTAGTACATCCAGGGCAGGTGATCTCGAAGGTACTTTATCAACGCCTAAGAATGAGATGATGCGTGGACCTGTATGGGTTGGACTTGATGGACGTATGTCTTTATTCAACCCCAAATACTATGTAACTATGTAACTATGTATCTATGTAACACAACTATATTTTTTTTACAGGAAAATTTGAACAAACTGATGAGCAATCTTAGGACAACACATCCTCACTTTGTACGGTGCCTCATCCCCAATGAGACCAAAACACCAGGTGAGATCCAAGGGGGGAGATTGTTGAATTGTCAGCGTGCAGTCAGGTGATCCGAAGAATCCATAAACCTCCCTCATTTCTCCCCCTAAAGGTGCCATGGAACATGCACTGGTCCTGCATCAGCTGAGGTGCAACGGAGTGCTGGAGGGCATCAGGATTTGCAGAAAAGGTTTCCCAAGCAGAATCCTTTATGGTGACTTCAAGCAGAGGTATCATCCCCAAAAGAGTGGTGACAACACCAGTGAAAATATATACAAAGTTGTGGCAAGGAAATCTTATTAATGAACAGTCAAATGTTCAGCTCATAATAAAATCAGTAGACTTGTGCGCCGTCAAAAAATTTGTTCCGTTTCGTTCCGTTTTGTAATATCCATTATTTCGTATTTCGTAATTCGTATGCGAAACTCAATTCGGATTCGTACGAAATACGAATTTTCGTTAGTTTCGGCACATTTTCGTAACTTTACGAATAAAAATATCTTCGTTAATATATTGGAGTCGATGTGGTAGTTGTGTTTTTATCCGAAATACGAATTCCGTTAACGGATTCCGGATCTGAATTTCGTATTTCAGACTTACTACCATCAACTCCAATATAAATGTACTTTGCTTCTTACCTTCAATATAACGAATGTTCGTAACGGAATTTCGTATTTCCTGCCTGTGTATTGTAATGCGACTCTCAGCAGCAGCGGATCCGTATTTCGGATTAAAAAGAAAATCTTGTCATGTTGTTCAACCTCATTTACAGGGGTAATATTAGTTCCCGTTTCAAAGAAATTCAGATCTGAAATTCATTAACGGAATTTCGTATTTCGGATATAATTCGGAAACTGCCATTCGGATTTCGGATGCTTCCGAATTTACGAATTTCAGGGAAATTCGTACGAATTTCGATTCGTAACGAAACGAATCGCACATGCCTAAAAATCAGTAGCGTAGATCCTCGCCAGCGGGTTCCTAAAATGTTGCTTCATTTATACTCCACGTTCCTCACCTACACCACACACTAAGGTCTGCTTCAGGGTAGAGAAAGTGCCTGAGCCCCAATTATATAGGACCCATCAAAGGTTCCAACGCTACTGTTCTGGTGACAACAGGGGATTTGTCCTCCGTTCAGAGGCTTCCTGTTCTGACTCCAGACCAGGAAGTGTGTGGAAACCTCCCTAGAGGAGAACTGACATCAAAAGGGATTTTAACCATTTCCTCCTCTATCCAAATATAACAAAGTTTGAGCTTTAGATATTCTTGAAGAGGAATGAGAATATTTGGTTCATTCGTATTGTGATTATACAATGTACCGTGCTACGGAAGTACATCGTTATTTAATGCAATTCTCTTTATTCCCTCTGCTATCATATCATATCCAGGTGATCAGAAAATGGTTACTATAATTTCTTTGTTCTTTTCCAGGTACAAAATCTTAAATGCAAGCGCCATTCCGGAAGGTCAATTTATCGACAGTAAGAAGGCTTCTGAGAAGCTTCTTGGATCCATTGATGTTGACCACACGCAATACAGATTTGGTCACACCAAGGTGCTTACCACTGACGTCACAGGTTCATATTGTCAAAAGAAGTAACATCTCTCCTCCGTGGATCCAATAACTGTAATGCTGTATTTCCTAAATCTGAAGGTGTTCTTCAAAGCCGGCATTTTGGGTGAACTGGAAGAGATGCGAGACGATCGTTTGGCCCACATCATCACGCGTACTCAAGCTAGATGCAGAGGATATCTGATGAGGTTGGAGTTCAAGAGGATGATGGAAAGGAGGTGCGTGCTCACTCGAATGGATTTCCCTAGCCATATTTTTGGGGCTTTTTTTTTTTTACAATAATTCAGCTATTTTGTATGAAAAACCATATTACAGACAAATAATATTTAGGAAAAAGTTTTTTACTTTGTTCATAAAGACCCCAAGGGGTTGGTTTTACTAAAGGCAAATAGGCTGTTCACCTGGCAAGGACATTTGCAGGGGTTTCCCTTAGCTCAGAGAATGTGGTGAAAATTCAATTTGCAGACAATACCCAATCATGTGCAAGGAAAATATGAAAAACTGTATTTTGTTCTTGCACATGATTGGGTGATGATTGTCAACAGAACTTCACCTCATTCACTAAACTAAGGGGAAACGTCCCCTGCCAAACTGATCAGCGTATTAACCTTTACTAAATCAACCCCCCATTGGGTCCTTCAGCCGTTCACCAGCTCTTTGAGCCGTAGAAAGGGGTGTCTTAAAATGGAAGCCTTCATCTTGCTTTAAAATACATGGAAATCATTGTGTTCTGCTTTCCAGGGAAGCTTTGTTTACCATTCAGTACAACATCCGATCATTCATGAATGTCAAGCATTGGCCATGGATGAAGCTCTACTTCAAGATCAAGCCGCTGCTGAAGAGCGCAGAATCTGAGAAGGAAATGGCCAACATGAAGGAAGAGTTCGAGAAGACAAAGGAGGCTCTGGTCAAGTCAGAGGCAAGGAGGAAAGAGCTTGAAGAAAAGATGGTTAAAGTTCTCCAAGAGAAAAATGACCTTCACCTTCAAGTCCAGTCTGTGAGTTTCAGTTTCCAATATGAAAATATCAAAATGGGAAATAAAATAGCGGCTGATGAGTGTTTAAATATTCCCTTTGAAGTATCTGCATGTTGTAGCCCTTGTGTCACTCCACTGAGGAATCAATGCATACAGAGTAGAGATGTGATCAGCTGAAAATTGAACTGGAGACAAAGCAAGGAGCTGAAGGAGAGGCTGGAAGACGAGAAGATCAGAACATTTTCACCGATACATTTTTGTTTGAACAGGAAACAGAGAATTTAACAGATGCTGAGGAGAGATGCGATCAGCTGATCAAAACCAAGATCCAGTTGGAGGCCAAGATTAAGGAGCTGAATGAGAGGCTGGAGGACGAGGAGGAATCAAACGCCGAGCTGACTGCCAAGAAGAGGAAACTGGAGGATGAGTGTTCTGAGCTGAAGAAGGACATTGATGACTTAGAGCTGACTCTGGCCAAGGTGGAGAAGGAGAAGCATGCCACAGAAAACAAGGTACTTTATAATAGGTCATCTAAGCACGTTCACAAATAATAATAATTGTCCGCATTGGCATTTTATGCATTTTTCATTGTACATTACTATGTTTCAAAAAGTTGTCAGTGGCTGATGTCATCTTTCCTATGAGCATCTAGTCAAAGTGAGTTCTAATGGACCAATAATGAAACCTTTTTTTTTTTTCTAAAGGTAAAAAACCTGACAGAGGAAATGGCTGTTCTCGACGAGAGCATTGCCAGACTTTCCAAGGAAAAGAAAGCTCTTCAAGAAGCTCACCAGCAAACTCTTGATGACCTCCAAGCTGAAGAGGACAAAGTGAACACATTGACCAAAGCCAAGGCTAAGCTGGAGCAGCAAGTTGATGATGTGAGTAGGAGGCTACAATCTAAATCCCATAACTGACATGTATACATTCAGGCTTCTAACATTTATATTTTTACATTAGCTTGAAGGCTCTCTGGAGCAAGAGAAGAAGTTGCGCATGGACCTTGAAAGAATCAAGAGGAAACTTGAGGGTGATCTTAAATTAGCTCAGGAGACCATCATGGACCTGGAAAATGAAAGGCAACAACTGGATGAGAAGCTGAAAAAGTAGGTGCCCATGTCGATTTAACTGAACTGAAGCAAATATTTTATGGTGTCAGTCTCTGTCAATCTTTGTCTCTGTTTAAATGACTGAACCATATCAATTTCACCCCAGGAAAGACTTTGAGATGAGCCAGTTTGCCAGTAAAATTGAGGACGAGCAGGCCCTCGGTGCCCAACTGCAAAAGAAGATTAAAGAACTTCAGGTAGGTTCTGCTTCCAGTTGTCTTTCGTCCAATACTCGTCAAGTCATTGCGGGCTCCCACTCATGTTGGCCTATATTTTCTTTTTTTACTTTAGGCCCGCATTGAGGAACTGGAAGAAGAAATCGAGGCGGAGCGCACAGCTCGTGCCAAGGCTGAGAAACAACGTGCAGACCTTTCCCGGGAGCTCGAGGAGATCAGCGAGCGCCTGGAGGAAGCCGGAGGGGCGACTTCTGCTCAGATTGAGATGAACAAGAAACGCGATGCAGAGTACCAGAAGATGAGAAGGGACCTGGAGGAGGCCACCTTGCAGCATGAAGCCACTTCCGCAGCTCTCAGGAAGAAGCACGCTGACAGCGCTGCAGAACTCGGGGAACAAATAGACAACCTTCAGAGGGTCAAACAGAAACTGGAAAAGGAGAAGAGTGAGCTGAAGATGGAAATTGATGACCTCGCCAGCAACATGGAGTCTGTCTCTAAATCCAAAGTAAGTTAAAGCTGAGATTCCGTAGGAAGAAAAATCTAGAATGTTTTGGAAAGATGTAAGAAAGCGCTCCAAATGGTAGCGGATTAAGGACGCATCCACTCGCTTATGACCAGTGGCGTAACTAGTGACCTCAGGGCCCCGATGCAAGAATCCATGAAAGGGCCCCCCCCCCCCCCCCCAAGAAGAAACACATTAGATTTTTTTTTTTTTCAAACAAAATTTAGACAAGGGACAACAAAAAGCAAAAAACACTCTCCTCTTTCATGCCCCCAGCTCCCCATTATCTCCCCCTTCATGTCTCCAGCTTTCCGCTCCTGGACCCCACACTCTCCTCTTCCATGTCTCCAGCTCCCCATTATCTCCCCCTTCATGTCTCCAGCTTTCCGCTCCTGGACCCCACACTCTCCTCTTCCATGTCTCCAGCTCCCCATTATCTCCCCCTTCATGTCTCCAGCTTTCCGCTCCTGGACCCCACACTCTCCTCTTCCATGTCTCCAGCTCCCCATTATCTCCCCCTTCATGTCCCCAGCTTTCCGCTCCTGGACTCCATGTCACCTTCATACTTCCAGCTCCCTGTCTCTGTCTCCCCCTTCGTGTCCGCAGCAGTTCTGTGTGATGAGGGGGCGGAGATTACACGGCTCCCACTCATTGGCTGCTGCGCCGGCTGGATGATACTTCATGCTGCGCCCGGAACCAGGTGAGGGGAGCAGCGTGAAGCATGTAGGGCCCAGGACAGGAGGAAGAGGTCCCGGGGCTGACATTAGCGGTTACCGGGATAATAAATATCCTGGTAATCAGCGGTCACCAGGGGCCCCTTCCTCCTGTCCTGGGCCCCCTCCAAGTGGCGGAACTCCAGGGCGACTCCGAAGCCGCATGTGACTCTCTCATCCCTCTGCTGCGGCTCCCTGTCCAGGGGTGGAACTACCGCCGGGGCCTCGGGGCCTGAGGCTGTGGGGGGGCCCAGTAAGATCCGGTCCTTGGCACCCCCCCCCCGCCCCCGGTTTAATATGTGGCAGTGCCAACGGGCTTCTCAGCAAGGGGCCGATCCTGTGACTCACCTCCTCTCTCGGCCGCGTCCCTGGTAACAGGCGGCGGAAGAGAAGTGTGTCACATGCCCCTCATTTTAGATGTCAAAAGGGTTTTGTGGCTCCCGGTGTTTTCTTTTCTGTGGGAAACGTGTCCAAATGGCTCTTTGAGTGTTTAAGGTTGCTGACCCCTGACCTAGTAGAATGATTCCATTTAACCCCAAGAGGTCTGAGGGGGGTCTCCATAGTTCTGGGTCCATAGTCAGTAGGATGGAGGCTCCTCCAACAGCCCCAGTGGCGGTTCAGTCCGTCACACGTCTATAGACTGATTAATGATAGTAAATCAAGATGGGGTTAGTTCAATGCGTTTCACGTATATATTATTGGAGTCAATTTGGTTATTTCCATATTAAATGTATTTTATGTTTTTTAAACTGTTGTGTACTCAATACATTTTTGTATATAAGATATTTGGTTTTTGAGTGGCCACCTTAAAGGTCCGATGTGTGTCATACCTGATTAATACTGAAAGTTGTGGATGTGGCACACTAGATGCCAACCCACCATTTATAAATCGGTATACAGGTATTCCTCACTTAACGGGCGAGTTCCGTTCCTACGACCAGGTCGTTAAACGAATTGGTCGTTAAGTGAGGAACTCTATACAGTACTGTACATCGGGCAATAAAGTACTTACCGAGACCCGCAGTGAAGAACGGAGGACATCGCTTCCGCCGGCGACGCGTCGCACTGACGCTGACACTTTCCCGCACGTAAGGTCGGAGGTCGGTCGTAAGTGCGAGTGGTCGCAAAACAGGTAAGTCGGTAAGCGGGATACATCTGTATTATAAAGGCAAAGCAGTCAATGGGAGAACACGGGCACAGGAATGCAATGTTTATGTGCCTTGAGTACATTTTTCATGGGGAAGGTAAACTTATGAAGGTTCCACACTTTATGCAATACTGGAAATGTTGTGCTAGAGATACCCCCGGAATGTTGGGGGCTGTCGGGTGTCTGAGACTTCAAGTCTTCTTTGTGTTGTACTCAGGCCAACTATGAGAAGATCTGCCGAACATTGGAAGATCAGCTGAGTGAGCTGAAGACAAAAGACGAGGAGCACCAGAGGCAGATCAACGATATCAACATCCAGAGGGCCCGTCTGCAAACTGAGAACGGTGAATAATATAAAATACAACAACCACTAAATCAGAGCAAAGAGCGTGCACGTGAAAGTGACCCAGAGGCGCAACGTTCGGCACTTCTGTAGGTTTTGTGTTCTGCCCATTTAGGCCAACAGAGGGGCCGCACTAAAAGCTGGCAGTTATGTGGATTGTCCGATAGGAGGATACAAAATGGAAAACATTGGGAATGACTTCTTCATTTACAATGCTGCTCAGACTCTCTCATCCACCAATCCACGAGAGGAACTGCCAAGGGCTTTACATTCACCAGCTGGTAGAACAGTCAGGGGAGTCCCCAGACTATATTCGCCACTATGGGCACTGCCAGTGCACGTAATTCAGAGTATACCAGGTTTCTAAGAGCTCTTAGCAACTGGGGGGTGCTCTGGCCGGCATCCCTCCTAGCTCACTGATGTCACTGGTTGCCAGGAGGTGAGTGGGATGCTGTTCAGTGCGTCAGGTTGCTAAGAACTGTTATTAGCAACCTGGGACGCTCTGGCTGCAATGACCCTCCATGTGAGCCAGTGAGATGCCTCCTGATGCAACCACCTCAGGTTCCCTCATTATATGGTCAGCCCTGTGTTTAGTGACCCCCCTGAAAGCAGTGGTAGGCAAAATCCGACCCTCCAGTTCTGTTGCAAGTCCCATGAGGCATTGCAAGACTCAAAGGGAGATGCATAATGGGATTTGTAGCTTCACCACCGCTGGAGGCCTGCTCCTGGCTCTAACGCCACCCTTTGGTAATGTGTGAGCTTCAGGGACATTGGAAGTATTGACATTTGTGTTGGGAGTTAGATGAGATAGCGCTTCTTCAACATGAGGGTAGGATGTCTCGGTCACCCGCCTGGAATTCACATTAGCCGTCGTATTCTGAACAGGTGAATTTTCTCGACAACTGGAAGAAAAAGACGCTCTGATCTCCCAGCTCTCTCGGGGCAAGCAGGCTTTCACCCAGCAGATTGAGGAGCTGAAGAGGCAACTGGAGGAGGAGACAAAGGTACATTATACACATTCATATCTAGAAGTCACCCCCGACTCACACCTGTAGTTTGATGTCCAATGTACAGACATTTTTGTGCCTCATTAATACAACTCCTTAATATATTTTTCTGTATAGGCCAAGAACGCACTGGCCCATGGCTTACAGTCTTCCCGCCATGACTGTGACCTTTTGAGGGAGCAGTATGAAGAGGAGCAGGAGGCAAAAGCTGAGCTTCAACGCTCACTGTCTAAGGCCAATGGTGAAGTCGCCCAATGGAGGACAAAATACGAAACTGATGCCATCCAGCGAACAGAGGAACTTGAGGAAGCCAAGTGAGATACCGCTACTTGGATCTGATTATCTCATGTACAAGTCTTACTGTTATACTGCACATGAGCAATGAGGCCATTAGGTCATTGCCCTACAACAGTGGTTCTCAACCTTTGTAGGGCCGGGACCCCTTGGTAACATTTGCCAAGTTGTGGTGACCCCCAACCGTAAAATTTAGGGATGCACCAATACTAGTATCTGTGTGGGCTCTCAGGAGTGGGACTCTCTGGTGGCGTCCAGTGCGGGCTCTGTAGTACCTAGTTGTGGGCTCTATGGTGATCAAGCATTTACCTTCCCTCACTCCTGCCTGCTCCCCTCTCTCCCCTCTGCTGCAGCGCCACATAGGAGAACTGACACTGCCACGCTAGGAGGAGGCTGAGGAGCCTCTTACCTAGAGCAGCACAAGGCACGTGGAGGACCCCCTCAACTGTGGGTTGCGACCCACTTTTGGGTCCCGACCCACAGGTTGAGAACCCCTGCCCTACAAAGAATGACTAGCATGGACCAGAAACCACTTATGACTTCTAAACAGAGTGGCTTCAAATGACATATAACATGTTTTCTTATGACCATCTAGGAAGAAGCTTGCCCAGAGACTGCAGGATGCTGAGGAGCACATTGAGGCGGTGAATTCCAAGTGTGCTTCCCTGGAAAAGACCAAACAGAGGCTTCAGAATGAAGTTGAGGATCTCATGGTTGACGTGGAGAGATCCAACGCTGCCTGCGCTGCCCTGGACAAGAAGCAGAAGAACTTTGATAAGGTATGGATGTAACTCCACTTGGATTCCCTGATCATTCTGCCTGACACCTTGTATTTGGCTTCTTCGTGTTTTTGGGTGTTTTTTGCATCGTAATCATATCACGGTTTCTTCTATATGTGCCCTTTTGATAAAGTCGTTAATTTCATTGACACATTTTGTAGGTTTTGGCTGAGTGGAAGCAGAAATACGAGGAGGCCCAAGCTGAACTGGAAGCTTCTCTGAAAGAAACCCGATCACTGAGCACTGAGCTCTTCAAGATGAAGAACGCCTATGAAGAGTCCATGGACCACCTTGAAACCATCAAGCGGGAGAACAAAAATCTGCAACGTAATAAATTATTTCTGCTCATTCAAATATTATTATCATTATTATTATTATTATTATTATGTTACTTTTTACAATTATGTTTTCTTTTTTCCCCAACCAATGTAGAGAGAAAAATGATCGTTTATAAAGGAAGACTTTTTTAGAATAAGCATATTCTGTAGTTTACTTAAATTAGGTCATTTGTTAAAGGAGAACTATGAGGGGGGAGGGGAGTGCTTTTAACTCATCCTCATAGTTCTAGCCGACCTGTGACAATGAGACTGTCACAGGTCGGCTCAGTAGATCGGGAGGTGAGCGAACACATACCGGCGTTCGCTCACTTCTCGATCCTGTCCCTGCAGAGAGCTGTGACAGGGGAGGGACTGGATTCCCCCCTCCCCGCATCCGATCCTCCAGCGCTGACTGGTGGAACAGACGGGGGAGGGGCGGGTACAACCTCTAGATAGGCAGAGCCAGCTGTCAGTCACGCAGCTGGGCGGATCCAGACATAATTGTCGGGATCCGCTTCAGCTACGACGTCTCAGTATACCGCGAGCTGTAGTTCTCTATATACTGAGCTTAGGGTGACGCGAGGACGCTAGTTTGTGTCCTCCCGTTACCCTTAGGAGAACTATGGGGAAAAGCCCTAACCCCATAGTTCTCCTTTAAGGTCCCCTGGTTCTGGCCCGGTTCTGGTTACACACTTACATACTCAAAAATAAGGATTATCAGCTATGGAAACAAACCCCTCCTGTTACAAAGTACATGCAAACAAAGATCCAAAGTGGCAGCCATATGACTGACTTCCCTCCATTGACTGATTTTATATTGGCTTGTAAAATCTGTAGAATTGTTTTTGTTACCCTTTTGCATCTTTTCATTTTTTAGGAATATCTTTTTTTTTTTTGTTGGATCACAAAAGATAAAAACTATTTGTTAATCTAATTAAACAAAATATTTTTCATTTGACTATAGACGAGATTTCCGACCTCACTGAGCAAGTGTCAGAAAGTTCTAAGACTCTGCATGAAGTGGAAAAGGCCAAGAAGCAAATTGAGCAAGAGAAGAATGAGATCCAGACTGCTCTGGAGGAGGCAGAGGTACGCAATCCGAAATTCATCCATTTAGCTTTCTTTTGTATGACATTTGTCTTCAGGTTTTCTTCTGCCATACAGATATCAGTATCACCGTAGAGTTACCTAAAACAGAGAGGAGCTTGAAGGTGGTGCTTCACTAACTGTCTTCTGCTTCCTAGGCATCCCTTGAACACGAGGAAGGGAAGATCCTCAGAATCCAGCTGGAGCTCACACAAATCAAATCAGAAATTGACAGGAAGATTGCTGAGAAGGACGAAGAGATTGACCAGTTGAAGAGGAACCACATCCGGGTGGTGGAATCCATGCAGAGCACACTGGATGCTGAAATCAGAAGTAGGAATGATGCTCTGAGGTTGAAGAAGAAGATGGAAGGAGATTTAAATGAAATGGAAATTCAGCTGAGCCATGCCAACCGCCAAGCTGCCGAATCTCAGAAGCAGCTGAGAAACGTCCAAGGAGTGCTTAAGGTGACTGACCACAATGCGGATAGTTATATTTTTATTGTATTGGTTTACAAAGTGTAACTCTTCAAAAAGCACTCCTGAGACCCTGAACAATGCCGACCTCATAGAAAGCTGCCCACAATAACCTGCCCCCCCCCCATAACTTCTCATCAAAGGTAGAATAAAACATAAATAATAAATGTTCATATAATGCAGCCAAAGAATATATCGTGATACATATCTAGAGAGGGATCTGCTTCTACCAGCCTGCTGGATCCCAAGACCGGACAGCCTGAAGCCTAAGACTTGATTACACAGATCAGGACAGGAGCTGTCAATGTATATTACTGAGTAAAAAGGAAGGACGGCTCAACCAACAGCAGCCATCTAGATTTTACGAGAGGCCATCTATCAAATGTAATATTTTCTCATAGCAAGAAATGGATAAGTGTGTGCTTGTTATATGCTTAAAGTGCCAAATTATCTGAAAAAAGGGTCAAGAAACATAAAACTGCATTTCAATGTGTTACATCGAGAACATGCAAACCAATAGGTTGGACTTGATGGACTAATGTCTTTATTCAACCTCAAATACTATGTAACTATGTAATTTTATTTGTCTTTGCAATTATTTCCACCAGGACGTCCAAATCCATTTGGATGACTCCTTGAGGACAAATGAAGATCTGAAAGAGCAGTTGGCCTTGGTTGAGCGTAGGGCCAACCTCATGCAGGCTGAGATTGAAGAAATCAGAACAGCTCTGGAGCAGACTGAGAGGAGCAGGAAGGTGGCCGAGCAAGAGTTGCTGGATGCAAGTGAACGTGTCCAGCTTCTGCACACACAGGTGACCCCCCCCATACAAGCCAAATATGAGCCATGGCTGGAACATGCAGCAGATTAACAACGTACACATTTGACCAATTCTGTTCCTTTTATAGAATACAAGCTTAATCAACACTAAGAAGAAGCTGGATAGCGACATCTCGCAGCTCCAGAGTGAGGTGGAGGAAGCTATCCAGGAAGCTCGCAATGCAGAAGATAAGGCCAAGAAGGCCATCACCGACGTAAGTTCATTTTCTGCGCTTTGTAAGCAGATTGAGAGAAAGCACTCAGGCTCGGTTCACACCTGCACGTTCCTACGCTCTGCAAAACGCTCAAACACCGAAATCCCATTATTTCCTATGGATATGGTTCACACCTGGGCGTATTACAGGCCGTAGGAACGCGCTACAAAACGCCCTACGCCCAAAGAAGTACAGGAGCTTCTTTGGGACGTATTTGTCGCGCGTATCCATTGGGATACAGCCAGGTAGCCCTCGGAAACGCGCGTTTGTCGCGCATTTTTTTAACCGCGAATCACGGTAAAAACGCGCGGCACAAAACGCGTGACAAACGCGCATATTCGATACGCCTGGGTGTGAACCCAGCCTTAGGCATGCTGAGTTTGAAAATGCAGAAGCCATCTAAGGCTTGTAATCATTTTATATGGAATAAGCTGAACACCAACAAAATGTATCCTGAGATACATGAGATCCTAATTGGTTGGACTTGATGGACTAATGTCTTTATTCAAACTCAAATACTAAGTTCTAAGACTCTGCATGAAGTGGAAAAGGCCAAGAAGCAAATTGAGCAAGAGAAGAATGAGATCCAGACTGCTCTGGAGGAGGCAGAGGTACGCAATCCGAAATTCATCCATTTAGCTTTCTTTTGTATGACATTTGTCTTCAGGTTTTCTTCTGCCATACAGATATCAGTATCACCGTAGAGTTACCTAAAACAGAGAGGAGCTTGAAGGTGGTGCTTCACTAACTGTCTTCTGCTTCCTAGGCATCCCTTGAACACGAGGAAGGGAAGATCCTCAGAATCCAGCTGGAGCTCACACAAATCAAATCAGAAATTGACAGGAAGATTGCTGAGAAGGACGAAGAGATTGACCAGTTGAAGAGGAACCACATCCGGGTGGTGGAATCCATGCAGAGCACACTGGATGCTGAAATCAGAAGTAGGAATGATGCTCTGAGGTTGAAGAAGAAGATGGAAGGAGATTTAAATGAAATGGAAATTCAGCTGAGCCATGCCAACCGCCAAGCTGCCGAATCTCAGAAGCAGCTGAGAAACGTCCAAGGAGTGCTTAAGGTGACTGACCACAATGCGGATAGTTATATTTTTATTGTATTGGTTTACAAAGTGTAACTCTTCAAAAAGCACTCCTGAGACCCTGAACAATGCCGACCTCATAGAAAGCTGCCCACAATAACCTGCCCCCCCCCCATAACTTCTCATCAAAGGTAGAATAAAACATAAATAATAAATGTTCATATAATGCAGCCAAAGAATATATCGTGATACATATCTAGAGAGGGATCTGCTTCTACCAGCCTGCTGGATCCCAAGACCGGACAGCCTGAAGCCTAAGACTTGATTACACAGATCAGGACAGGAGCTGTCAATGTATATTACTGAGTAAAAAGGAAGGACGGCTCAACCAACAGCAGCCATCTAGATTTTACGAGAGGCCATCTATCAAATGTAATATTTTCTCATAGCAAGAAATGGATAAGTGTGTGCTTGTTATATGCTTAAAGTGCCAAATTATCTGAAAAAAGGGTCAAGAAACATAAAACTGCATTTCAATGTGTTACATCGAGAACATGCAAACCAATAGGTTGGACTTGATGGACTAATGTCTTTATTCAACCTCAAATACTATGTAACTATGTAATTTTATTTGTCTTTGCAATTATTTCCACCAGGACGTCCAAATCCATTTGGATGACTCCTTGAGGACAAATGAAGATCTGAAAGAGCAGTTGGCCTTGGTTGAGCGTAGGGCCAACCTCATGCAGGCTGAGATTGAAGAAATCAGAACAGCTCTGGAGCAGACTGAGAGGAGCAGGAAGGTGGCCGAGCAAGAGTTGCTGGATGCAAGTGAACGTGTCCAGCTTCTGCACACACAGGTGACCCCCCCCATACAAGCCAAATATGAGCCATGGCTGGAACATGCAGCAGATTAACAACGTACACATTTGACCAATTCTGTTCCTTTTATAGAATACAAGCTTAATCAACACTAAGAAGAAGCTGGATAGCGACATCTCGCAGCTCCAGAGTGAGGTGGAGGAAGCTATCCAGGAAGCTCGCAATGCAGAAGATAAGGCCAAGAAGGCCATCACCGACGTAAGTTCATTTTCTGCGCTTTGTAAGCAGATTGAGAGAAAGCACTCAGGCTCGGTTCACACCTGCACGTTCCTACGCTCTGCAAAACGCTCAAACACCGAAATCCCATTATTTCCTATGGATATGGTTCACACCTGGGCGTATTACAGGCCGTAGGAACGCGCTACAAAACGCCCTACGCCCAAAGAAGTACAGGAGCTTCTTTGGGACGTATTTGTCGCGCGTATCCATTGGGATACAGCCAGGTAGCCCTCGGAAACGCGCGTTTGTCGCGCATTTTTTTAACCGCGAATCACGGTAAAAACGCGCGGCACAAAACGCGTGACAAACGCGCATATTCGATACGCCTGGGTGTGAACCCAGCCTTAGGCATGCTGAGTTTGAAAATGCAGAAGCCATCTAAGGCTTGTAATCATTTTATATGGAATAAGCTGAACACCAACAAAATGTATCCTGAGATACATGAGATCCTAATTGGTTGGACTTGATGGACTAATGTCTTTATTCAAACTCAAATACTATGTAACTACGTAACTGTGTTAAAAACCCCTTCAATTTGTATTACCCAGAGAGAATTACATTGATACAATATAAGTAATACAACATAGTGAATGTGAGTTTTATGCCTCAACATGTTCTGGTGACCTGCAAAACCATCCACTGTGACCACTGTAGACATCAAGTATTACTTTTTATGCAGGCTGCCATGATGGCTGAAGAGCTCAAGAAGGAGCAGGACACCAGCGCTCACCTGGAGAGGATGAAGAAGAACCTGGACCAGACTGTGAAGGATCTTCAACTTCGTCTGGATGAAGCTGAACAACTGGCTCTTAAAGGAGGGAAAAAGCAGATCCAGAAACTGGAGGCCAGGGTGTGTATGGAGAACGTCCTAAAAAACAGTGCAGAGAACCCGTCCAGCCTCCGACCTTCACTGACCTCGCTCTCTGTCTGCTCTTAGGTGAGAGAACTTGAAAATGAAATGGATTCAGAACAGAAACGCAGCTCTGACGCAATAAAAGGTGTCCGTAAATATGAGAGGCGGGTCAAGGAGCTCTCATACCAGGTCAGTATTATTTCTCGGGGTCTGTCCAGATTATGGTAATAATACTTTTGGAATCTATAGAACGTTTGAGTAGCCGCAATGCCGATAACCGAACCCTAACACCTTCATTTCATAGACAAGATAGGAACTGAAAGTACAAAAGTCATTTTTCAGTCAGTGAGGTCTTGTCTAACCCAACAACCTTTTGTTGCTCATCTCTGCAGTCTGAAGAAGACAAGAAGAACATTCTGAGGCTCCAAGACCTGGTGGACAAACTGCAACTGAAAGTCAAAGCCTACAAGAGACAGACTGAGGAAACTGTGAGTACTGTGCGGTGTCTGTGCGCTGCTCCCCTGAGTTTATAGCTGTCTGCGCCCTTCTTAGGTTTACTCTCCCTATAAGTTAGAGACAATCCGAAAATGTAACAGAGGGGAAATCTTCCAATGGGGACACTTGTTCCAATGAGAACTGAGAGAGAGATTTTCTTCACTTTGAAAAGCTATTGCAGCTACAGGACAGGAAGTAGAGGGCAATCTACTTAATGGGACATATGGCCACTTCTCATTCTGAATACAGGTCTCCTGGTGTTGAGAACAAGTGAGAATCCTGCATTTCCCCTAAATTAAATACAAAACTAGGTATCCCCTATGGAAAAAAACCATAGCACCACCATAACACTCAACTCTTCAACCCCTAACTTCTATTCGCTGCATAATTACCATTCCCCGCACTCAGTATGCAAGTCCCAGGGCAGAATCATGCAGCAATGGGACTTTCTTCTTATCTTATGTACCAAAGGCTCCCCACATACAACTCAACAGTTCTTTGTGAATTTTAAAGAATAACATATTTATAATTCGACATGCGAAGGTTTCACCGGACAGGTAATGGTGAGATGGACCAAAAGGAACGAAAACATCTCCACTGAACCAGTGCGAAGCATTGTGGGGCCTTCTCCGTTGTCCTAAATTGCGGAGTCCATCCATCCCTTGTTTCTGGAATTTGTGATGGAAGTGAGACATGCAGATACATTCTGCTCCAGGGATGCTCTGCTTGGCTTAGCTTGGCTTAGTTCTGGTTCAGCGAAGGACTTTTTTGGTTTCTTTTGGCCCACTTCACTATAACCTGTTGGGTTATACTTCCTCATTGCACCCTGAGGACTACTCTATAGAATACATGATTTCCATACACTACGCTTATGTCGATGGCCAACGAGGCTGAAGCAGCTGTATAATATATAATAATATTATTAGGGCTGTATATGTGCTACAGACCAACGCTTCTGAATGTTCAGTTGGCCAATGGGGGCAGAAAGGAATGATTTGCATGGCTCTGCCCACTATCCTGCAATGAAGAACAGACCCTTGTTTTTGGGATGCGTGATGGAAGTAGGACATTGGCTTTGGTGTGCGTTGTGTGATTCTGACATAAAATGCTACAGACGTAAAGCTATGAGAACTTATATCCCAATTATTTGCAGACGTTAGCACTTTAATGGTGTCATTTTGCAAAATCTAAAGTCGGCTCAGCCCAAAAATATTTGAATTTTACTGTCCACCACCAGCGTATTGAACCACGTCCTCCTTCCATGGAAGACTTTGCAGTGGTGAGAGTCCAGGGTGGGGCTTTGTGAAGGTGTCACTCACTGGGCACCCCAGTTTTTTTGTTTGTTCCACATATATATTGGGAATGCACCATATTGGTCACCATAATGTACTGTACAAGTCCATGGCCACTCAGCGGGAGCTATGCAGAGCTGGAGTTTTAGGTGGAGCTGACCTTTAAGGCTCAGCGGTGGGGTGGGTAGTGCTCAGTGGCGGGAACTCTGACGTAACTCTTCTTCCCTTCAGGAGGAGCAATCCAATGTTAACCTGTCCAAGTACCGCAAGATCCAGCACGAGCTGGAGGAGGCAGATGAGCGGGCCGACATTGCAGAGTCCCAGGTCAACAAGCTTCGGGCTAAAACACGAGAGGTCACCAAGATCACCAAGAGCGAGGAATGAGGAGCAACTGAGCCACAAGGTGAACGAAGAACGGCACATAATGTGAAATCTTTCTCACTTTGTCTTTAAATTATGTCGTCTTAAATTTATAGTGTTAATAAACTGCAGACCTTTGAAAGACCTCGGGGGTGTCTACCTTGCCTGCGTGTCTGGGGGCTCAGAGGCCGCCGTTCTTTGCACACAAAATCTGCTTTCGAAAAGGAAAACTTTTGCTTTAGATCTCTAGATATATAATCCACTCAATGTAATCATTTGGAGCCTTTCTTAAGGATGTGTCTGTGCCCCGCCCAACACAGCTATTACATCGCATGGAAGAGGCGTGGCCACATGTTTTGTTGTGGTTATCCACATGTGTATGACACCGGGGTGCCCAGAAGTTTTGTTGTGAAATGTCGGTGGATTATGCTATGTGGATATTGGTTATCCTCCAATACAACCGGGTCACTTTATTAAAACATCCATATCTATTCATCCAGTGAAACTTCATGTACATTCATCCTGTGTGAATCAACCAGCATTAGTGTATTCACTCAATGTATAAAACTGTACCTGCAAAAGGGGTTCTTTGGTCTGGTCCCAGTACAAATCTAAACTGAACTCATCCAGTTCCCCGAGTTGCATCTTGGGGGACATGAGGACGCGGAGACTCAAATGATGCTCCGAATTGATTACAGATTTGTGGTGGGCGGGACAAAGTGTACAGATAACAATCATCCTGAAATGTGATTGGATGATAATATGGAGGGTTCCTGCACTTTGCGCACGTTACCATCTCATATACATCTCCCGAAATGTAGTGCGAGGACTTGTCTGATTGGATGGTTTCTGTATCTAGGTCCTCGTAGGACATGGTTCTGGAAGATCTACAGTGGATGGTTCGGAGATTGTACGGTCAGATTGTAACACGTACGGTGAGCCTTCCTCTGTAGATGGGAAGGGGATCCTTCAGCTCTGGACTCCCACAATCTACACAATCTCTTAAGAGCAAATGTGGAAATCTCAGACCTTGTATTGGGGGTTCCCAAAATTGTATAGAAATAGGAGTTTAATTTTGTGCCTCAGCAAAGGTCATATTTGGGGTTCCAGAGTTAAGGACATGATGAACAGCGGTAAGCTTATTCTGTAGAGTGAAAAGTGCTTTAACCTGCAGCAACAAATGGGGTCGTCGTCTACGTATCTGAGGTCCGAATACTGCACCTTCCCTGTAGGCCTGACCCCACTTTGCTGAATAGACCTGTTGGGGAATAGACTTCTATATGCAGTTTCTGGTCACGTTTGTGAATGTGTCTATAGGAATATGTCTGTGAAGTTTCTCATTCCTCCAGGTCACGGTATATCTGTAGATAATCAATCAAGGCAACTGGACTCGCTGTATTTTTCTCAAAGATGTTTCGCTGGCTATCTGACCAGCTTCCTGAATTTAGAATGTATTGAGAAAGTCAGTCAGACAAATACAGCGAGTCCAGCTGCCTTGGTTTATTATCTACAGATATGTGTCTATGGGAAGAATTGTGTCAGACAATCTGCTATCCACAGAAAACTGGGGCTGCCCAATGTATCTGTCCAGGTGCAGACATGAAGAGGGAGATTTACAGGAAGGATGGGGAGGAGAGGGTTAATGATCCATGGAGGATATAAAAAAGATCTGGAATATCCAGAGAGCTGCAGAAGATTCCAGGTCCTCAGATCTGGAGAAGAACCACAATCAGTCAGCAGAGGTGAAGCTTCTCCATGAGACCCTCTGGAAGCAGATTCCTCATTTTTGATATTTTGATGTTTTTAGAGGAACATTCAGGAATACCGGAGGTCCCTATTGATGGCATTTTTATGAATCCCACTTGAAGATCATACTGGTCGGCGCTATGTAAGTGGAGACTATTAATAGAATATCAAGCAATCCTTATGTTACCGGCTCGGTGAGGGATTTACATTCTGAATGTTCAGGATCAGTGCGAGCTCAGATCTGATTGGAATGTGTATAAGACAGTCCAAGGGGAGATGAATCATTGAGTCCAGGAGACCTGACAAGTCCAATGTATAAAAGTCTGTCATGATGATACATTATAACAACAGAGCGCAATGGAATTCTATGTCCAGAAAAAGAGACGGAAAGAATGTAGCACAATCGCTGATAAAACAATTATATGTCTATATAGAAGAGGATACAGAGTATATAGAGGAGGATACAGAGTATATAGAGGAGGATACAGAGTATACCGTGTTTCCCCGAAAGTAAGACCTAGTTCGGTGGTAGGTCTTATATTACAGAAATCCGCTAGGTCTTACTTTCGGGGTAGCGGCACTTCTGTTGTTACACTTTCTTTTATTTCTTGGGGTTCATTGAGAGTATTCCCGGTCTGAGAATACCACCTGCTGTCTTTATATATATCCTTCAGTCCTCTGAGCTCCTCATCTTAATATTTTGTTGCTATAATAAGATTTAATACATATTTCCCATCACGGCGGAGCTGCTGATGATTGACCATCTCCATGAATAACAAAGACAACATTCACAGCGGGTGAATGAGTATAAAGGGAGATTCGGGTGCTCGCCCCTCTAGGTCTGGCCCTTTATTTATAAGGATGATATCAGCAGCTCAGAATGGCCTCGTCTGGTTCGGGTGACACGTCTGACGGCTCCGGGAAGATTTCATGACAAGATTGGGGGTGACAAATATCTTACTATAAGTAGCAGTGACCTTCCC